ACGTATTTAAATGAAATCTATGAGGTTGTCCAGAATAATAAAACATTTTAATGGAGCACATAAACGCAAGTCATAATTTTAAGAATAAAAAAAATCTCATTCATGAAACTTGTGCCTCAAGGGAATATTTATAATGAAATTGATATGATTTTTATAGATTTCTCATTTCAGCAATTATACATATATTCTTATTAATTAAATAAAATTTACTATCAATAAATTAATGACCCTAAAATATATGCTTGCATATTTTTCTTTAATGTTGATAATCGGAGACTTGGTAAGACAATTTATGTAGGTTGTTTTTCAGATTAATTCAAGATCCTATTTTGTAGTTTTGTATAGAGCTTTAATTTTTTCAATGAGAAATTTACTGGATACGCCATTGTGTATTGAAGATAATATCTAAAAAATCGTGTCGTGCATTCAACACAATAGTGATTTAAAGAGACGACACTTACAGTTAAATACATTTATTTATTTATTTAAAATTATTCTACTAGTATAATGTACCGGATGTATATATATATATACATGCCAATACCAACTGAAAACAATTGTGGTTACAACGATCTAGATCGTGCGTTTATTATAATTTGGAATTAAAAATACTATTTATTAAATTTATAAAATTTACATTTGAATGAATTATCATTGTAATTGAGAAGTCGTTTATTCACTACTATTAACTATATTTTAAATCACTTATAGACGGAATGTCGGGGTAACATGACTCACGATTTGCTAATTTTATTGAATTTGTTCACCTAAGAATTCAATATGTGTTTACATGTTGCGATTTGTAGCAATCTAACCTAATAACTTTTTCGTTCGTCTCGTATAAAAATATTGATATTCGCGATATCCCGTGGTGATATTGCATCCGTCAAAGGAACGTTATCTGCGCATTCCTAGCCTGAAGCCAAAAGTATTAAAGGTGTCACGATAATAACCACGATTGGTCGTTATCTCGCAGTTCTTTTGTTTTTTTTTTTTATAAATATATAATATAATTCCAAAGAAGTTGACAATAGCGTGTGTGGTATTAAAAAAAAATATCCACCATAGTTATTGTCTATGTATTTACACCTATGTATTTGACCTCATATAATAAAATTAAAAAAGTTCAGCGGTGTGTTACGATCGCAAATGTCTTTAGTTGGTTTTTCTATAGTTGTAGATTTATCGTCCGAGTTCTACTACATAACGTGATCATTGAACATTAGAGTCATGTGTAGTATACACTAACTACTATCCATTGCACGTCAAAAGAATCCCAATCAAATTTCATCAAACCAAATATTATATAATTCAATAAGTGTTGTAAACTTACATAATTAACGGTTATTATAATTTTGGTAGGTTTATTTTTTTCAAGTTACATCATAAACGTTTTATGATGAAATGATGACCTAACAACAGTATAGAATCAAGTAAATCTTGCTGTTTCGTCTCGTGTACAGTTGTTTCATTCAAAACAATTATGTTTCTGATAGTTTAATTATGAACAATAATGGTATCCATTTATTTTAGTGGTATAAACACGGGCGTCGTTACAATTTTGTTTCGGCACACATAGATATCATGACAGGACGGGATGAGAGATCTCTCATCTCTTATGTGGATGTTGAATGGTCTAGACCAGTAAAAATGTATCTAGAGGGTCAAATTGATAACTCAACATTTTAGGTAAGCAAATAACGTCCCCAGGTGTGTGAAATACACACGAGTTAAGCGATATAATTTCTGCAAAATCAATTGGATTTTGTGTAAACAATAAAAATTCTCATAAAACGTATTAATTTTTATAATATTTAACAATGGTTATGATTTATAGAATAGTTTGTCGAGCTATTGTTGGTAGTTAAGACTCGTCAAAATCCGATTAACTGAACTATTCTTATTATATTTATTATAATAAATAATATACTGAATTTGCATACTCATAAACATGTCGATATTATTTGCAAGATTATATATATCCCCTGGCCCTTGTATATTTAAATAGTTTTGTAGGTGGAGTTCGATAAATCTATAAGTACATACGTCAAAGCCCGGAGTACAATGACCAACATATACTAACCCGGTAATATTATCTACACGTGTCAGTGTGTTCTCTTGGCTGTACTCGCACATTGGGCGGTAGTCATTTAAAACCGTAAACCGAAATGTTCATACGGACTGTCAATGTTTAATATCTAAATGAAATAGTTACGCGTGTATATACGATTTTATAATTCATCGTTACCTTAGTAAATTATGACCACTTGTTAATAAAAAAGAAAAGACGTATTTCTATGAGCCAGCTAATTGTTTAATAGTAATCGTACAGTCATAACGCCGTATAGTCTTATTGGTAAAAATAGTGAAGTAACATGTACTATACTATCAACTATTAAGCTTCAGCCTTACGATTAAAAAAATCATTGTCGAATACCTACAACAACTACTATGTTGGAAGAAGGCGTCAATTAAAAAGAATATTTAATTAAATTTTACGGTATACTTTAATTAATCTGATAGTATCTGGAAACGACCATTTCGAAACAAAGAGTAGAAATACTATATAGATTTGAGTAGAAATGGCGAAGGGAAATTAAAATATTTGTCAAACTCTTTCAGTATTTTATAGTTTACTCTGATAGAAAGTAACGTGGAAGTCCGTTAAAAATTTTTTTCCGCAAACCGGATAGTCTGCAAGAAATACAGTTAACCCAACAAAAGTTTTCACGTATGAGGCTAGTTTTTTGGGGGAACGTCAGTGAAGAATAATTATTGCGGTTTCTTGTCTACTGTCAAACCGTTGCACGCGACAGTGGGGCACAAAAAGAAATTGCCGCCGCGACCGCCTTCGGAGTCGTCTCCGAATATTTCGTGAATGCGATTTTAGCGATCGCGACGTCCATTATGAGCCATTATGTATAACTTTGAGAGAGTGTAAGCCACTGGCTTGCCCTTGTGGCCTTAACCGTCAGACACTATCGTCTCGACCGCCGTCGTGCTATATTGTCTGGCTCGTCTAGGTCCGTGGCCATCATTTCGGCGGATGTTAAGAAACCACCGTTGCGAAACGACAGCCGTCTCCGCTCTCCGTCCGTTCGATCGCAAGTCTTGGTTTTTATTTTCTACTTTTATCATTCTCCTCTCTCGCTCGATTATTTTCTTGTTCTGTTTTTGCAAAAACCATTGCAAAAATATCGCAAATAATGAACGCCACTTTACAACAATAATTGCGTTACAGTAGGCCACCACTTGGAGCAACGAAGGAGAGAGAAACTCGTAATTCGAGGTCATAGAAAATCAAAATTATATACACACAACCGCCGCCGTTGTTATTATTATAGTACTACACTTACCATGAAGCTTATCGATGGAGTGTATTTTGTAAATAAATACGTACAACGAATATTTTTGAGAATTGTTTAATTGCGGAGCTGTTAATCTTATTGTTAATTCTCCAGTTTATATTTGCTGTATTGGCAAAAATCAAAGTTCATCGTCTCTGCGTTATTACAAGTGTGAATTGAGTTGTTTGAATGCCGTTTGTCGTTTTGTCTGGTGAATAGTATGCTAATTGAGTTAAGTAAATGTTTTGACTAAATAATAACAAACGCATCAAACTAAATGACGCTTTGAACAATTACCAAAACCATTAACACTATAAGAATATTACCCTAAATTATATATGTCATGTATACTATTTATATTGTGTTTATTCAAATTTACAATTAAAATAGATTTAGATACAACGTATTCTAGATTCGTTTTGTCTTTATGTATAGTTTTTGGCTATGTTAAAATGCTGTCCGCCTTTATGGTCGATAATTCGTCACGTTCATTAAAAAAAAAAAATAATAATAATGTGTTTTAAGCGTGGTTTCATTGTAAATTCACTTGTATTGATCTTTCTATGTCAAACGACGACGCGTCTGCAAAGACGTGAAGGTTATGGTGGGTGGGTGGTGGTAAAAAGTGTGCTACGCATTTGTTCGAAAAAAAAATATGTAGTACCAAGTTGTTTGTGATTGTTGCTACTATTTTGAGAATCATGAAAATAACGATACTTAACATTACTCTCTTGATTTGTTGTTTTAATAGTTTGATGTTTTATGTATTTATTTTGGTCCCCTCCATAAAGTGTATAACATTGAAAAGCTCGTTATTTGTGTATTGTATTGTGGATGTTTCATGCTCGTTTATATCGACTCCAACATTTTGCTTACGATTTATTTAAGCACACTCGGCGATACATAATTACGAATTTAATATGTTATTGATATAATTCGTTTGTAAATGGTATTAAATATTGATGCGGTACGAGTGCTTTGGTGATGTTTTTTTATTGTCTTTTCGTACGAATTGTTATTGTAATTGTTTTTAAGTGATATTCACGTTTTCCAACTGACCTAAATAGAAGACATCGTTTGGGCGTCGTGTGTAGTACAAATAATGTCTGTCTATTTGCCGGTTGATACTCGTAAAGTTTTCACCTTTTTATCAAGAGCAACGACATGCGCCAAGCGGAGCTAATTCAATTATAAATGAATAACGCTTTTATGTCGGCTGTTCGTGTTGAGAGATTGCGAGGTAACTGGTATTGAAGAGCCGTGTACGTTTGGCAATGACTGACTGTAGCGCAACAAGTTTTCGCCGCCGCCGACGACAGCCAGACAGACACCGACCTTCCCTCATGCCCTTGATTATGCCAGACGGATCAATATGGCATTATGCGCCGCCAGCACAACCCCATTTCCCATCGCTGCATTGTGTGCTGCATTGCTACAACAACCTATTTTAAACCTCCTCGTTTTTGCACAACCCTTAAAGTATAAGTTTCTTTTTTTTTTTTTTTATGACTAGGTGATTATATTTTTTATTGTATCATCCGATCCACAATGTTGAAACATTAAAACTACTACGGCGACACTTATTGTTTTCTCAAATAAAAAAAGTTATGAAATATTATTGTTCGACTGAGTCCGATACCTATTATTTTGCAGGTGTACAAGGGGTTGGATGTGGCAACGAATAAAGCGACCGAAGAAGAAATGCAAGGAATCACTCACTATATGATGGGTACTGTGGACTGGAGTACAGAATTTAACGTTCACCAATACAGAAATCAAACTTTAAAAATTGTATCCTTATATTTCCGAAATAACTAATGATATTATTATTATTTATCTGTTTAGGAGAATTTTTTTAAGGTTCCAGAAAGAAACTGTCCCACCGGGTCACCGGCCCCTTATTAAGAAACTCTTGTTCGTACTCCGTACTATTTAATCATCAACAACGGGTCGCTCTAATGAAGTTCTTTTGTGATCCTCAAAAATGTTGTCACGGTTCACGCTATTTGTATTCTTCATCTTTCTCACGAGGTCCATTTAGATATTTTCATTTTTATGTTTCGGCCGTTACATTACTTGACCGTATAATTGTGATGAAACTATTCTTATTGATATGAAGGAGAACTTTCTTTGAAAAGTTAAAAAAATATATTAAATAAACAATCATCGAGTCGAGAGGAGACCGCAGACAGAGTATATGTTGGTGCAATGCGGCGGTGATATGCCTCAAGGCGACGTTTGTGCAGCAAAAAACAAAATAGGGTGCGAGTGTAATATTCAATAAGAAGAACGCATAGACATTCATAAAATAAAAATGTCAAGAACACTCGTAACAGCTATCTAGTTTTTGCTTTAAACAGCCGCAGTAATAATGTTTTTTTAAATTCCTTTTTTGTTGGAATATTTACGGTATTGCCAGTAGATTGCTATAGCACAATACTTAAAACCAATTTTCCATTTCATTAAGTATTGAAATCGATAGATGTAATAAGAATTATTCTTTTTGCAATCTAATAATATTTTCATCCCGAGAAAATAGTATTACTTTGAAGTAATTATTATTATTAACTAATTATATTTCATGTTCTTTGAGTTTAGAGTTTATCATTTCTTTTCTTTTTAAGTCGATATTTCGTGTAATAGTATTTTTATTTGCAGATTAGAATTTAAAATAAATTTCATACTCAAGGCTTGATGACTAAAGTCAGTTAAATGAGTATGAATTAATACGTTTAATAATCTATAATTTTATCATTTATTGTCTTCATACATAATTAAAATAAGTTTAGTCGATGAAATATTCATTATTATTATTATTAAATAGAGAGTTACATTGGACAGCACGATAAAAAATAATCAGCTACAAAATAACAATAAATTTGACCATAGATGTGCATTAAAATTAAATTTATATAAAAATAATTAATATAAAATTAATAATTTTATATGTCCGTAAAATTACAGGTAAGACCGTGAAAAGTTTTATTAAAATTCAGTTGCTCGTTTGATTGTATCAACTACGGTTATCTAACTGTGATATAAATTCAATATTTAATGTCATTTAAATTTAATAAATGTGTTTGATGCGGAAAAACGAAATTGTTCTACGCCTACATTAACGATTTTATTACCAATACAATGCCGCCCTGTTAAGCAATATTAACATTATTTATTATAAATCAGTTTAATTAGACATTAGTTTGAAGCCTTTTATTGCTTCATTTTAATTGAAGTGTCTGTCAATAATACTACGCCGGGCACCCCGAATGGATCGTATTCTTTAGTCCGAACTAACCCTAATTTCCATGGAATAATTGCCATGTTCCGTATGCTTTGAGTCACCTCTTTAGCTTTAAAAGCCGCTTTGTGAGAACTCTGGTCACGTTCGATGCCACCCTCAGATAATATCGTTACACCAATGTATAGAGAATTCCATCCTAAACTTATTGACCAGAGACCCTAAAAGTGTTTTCCCTTGTTTGTGATTGTCTTGTTGCGTCATGTAAAGGATTCACGTGACGACTCCCTTGATGATTTTTTTCCTAACATCATATTATGTTCTTTAACGGCTGTGGTCTAATTACATGATATAACAGTTAATTATCCTTAACAATTTTAATACAGATTTATGACATTTATTCGAGGGACAAAGTGCCAATTTTAGTGGGAGGAACGTGTTATTACGTAGAATCCATAATTTATGACAACTTATTGCCCGATAATGTTAATGAAGAACGACAACCAGAAGAAACCGTGACTTGCGACTTATCCAACCAGGAGATTGACTTGTCGTTGAACGCTTTTCGCCAGTATCGAATGTTTCGGCATACTACCGACATCGTACCAGTTCCTGACAACTTGGACTCAGCTAAGCACTTGTACTTAGAAACGTTGAGAGAAACGGTACGTTTCGTTAAGAATATGTTGCCAGCTTTATCAATCGAACTGTACCGCAATACTTTCGTTGATATTGAGGATCAGACTTTTCCCGTTCATCTCAATAGTGATTTAGTCGAGTGTGAATTAAATGCAATGTATTCGCACGGTGTTCGTTGTTTGAATGCCATAAAAAAGACCCTTAAAAAGGGGTCAACCCTGGAAAATGTACAGTTTGCTGTTCTAGTTGAGGACTGTCGACTTGCTGACCGGAAACCGTTCATGCAAGATGACGTGGAGTACTGCTTAAATGAGTTGGTTTTAGATTCAAACGATAATGGAGTAGTTATCAAAGAGGCACTTTACAAATTGCACTTGGAACTAGAGATTAGGGCTGAGCGTATAATGCTGGCGCTGTTGGTCAACGATGAAAAGACTGTCGTCGACCTGTTATCGCCAGAAAGACTCAAGTTGCATGCATTTTATTTCGACCCAGTGACCGCCAACACTCTCCATCCGCACAATACTCGCAAAGTTTTTAGGTGAGTGGCAACAACATTGTTGTGTCCAGAGGGTTGTTATTATTCATCGCTTGATGTTTTTCATTTGGACCTTACTCAATATATTATTTAATTTTGTTAGATAATAAAATTCTATTTGTAATGCGCTATTATTTTGAAATATATCTAATCGGATTTTTACATTAATCAATTTTATTTAGGTAGAAAATATTTCTTGCGAGTGGTTTTAATGAAATACTGTCTTTAAATTGAAAATCTTCAATTACTAAGATTTAAACAAATTAAGTACGTTTTTAAATGTGGAATTTGTGTGCTATGTTTAAATTGTAATGGAATATTGGATATTTCTTTTAAAAACTTTAAATTTGATTTAGTAGATAGTTTTTATAAAGACTGGATTAATAATCTATTAAACTAGCAAACAAATATTAATGAATGCGTACTTAATTTTGATTTTTAATAATTAGTTTAATTGGCTAATGAAATTAATTAGCTTAAAAATAAATAAAAATTTAAGATTATGTTCCTATTTGATCTAAGTCTGTAGATTATATCTGCAGTTGTGTTTTTAGTGCGTTATCATTAAATTTGCGTCAGATGATTTGCTATTTTTGCAAATTAATTTTTTTTAATGAGTTCTCAATGTAAAAATGAACACTTATTTCACGGTACTTCACGATTTTGTTACGCTCGTGTTAACGCAAGTAAAATAATTAAATACTGTTTATTATCAAATTTAATTGGGCTTGTTTTATATTCTTATCCGGTTGCTGAAAGATACGTGTTTTCCATTAAATCCATTGTTGTTATTACCTAATTTAGGTTTTATATCTTGTGCTGTAATTTTTAACAATACTTCTTATAAAATATGTTCATTTTGTTTTTAAAGTTATGATTTCTGTTTGATCCTTTTATTGTTTTTGGTATATCAAATGTTTGTGCTTTAAAGGTATAAATCTTATTCGTTGTTTTTGTATCAGTATTTGTACTGTGGTTTTGTAATGTTTTTACATGGTTAATGTTTATCCGTTTGTTGTTCTATAGAAAGAAAACTCTTTTTAAAAATAATGTTTGTAAATATTAAAGTGATTTTGGAAATATCTATTTAAGCTCTTCCATTAGAATAATTTTTTATGGCAATTTTATTATTATAGTAATTATTTATGCTGTATGTTCGTCGAAGGAAGTTTATTGTTTTTTTACTGGATTTAGAGTACACCGTTAAAATTGATGTTAAGACTGTAGTGCGCTCATAATACATAAAAAATAGAAATTGGTGTTTATTTTATCATTATTATTTTGTAATTTTTGAATCCCTTATTTATGATCATAATTTCGTAACAATACTGTTTTGAACCTATAAAAAATGTTCTGAATATACGAGTAATCATAAATTAAAATATTTATATATATTTCTAGGAAAAATTAGTGCTTATGTTAATGCCTTGTCGGCATGCTTGTGAAATTTTTTTCTTGCAATTGTCATACTAGTGCCGCGTGTCAATAGTTGGCCCGCCTTTACTTCCGCCAAAAGATTTGGATTCTGCTGCGGCAACCGCACACATTTTTTGTAGTCGTAATAAAATTACTAAAATAGTTTTTAATAAATAGCATCGGTTTCATTTGTTGTTTTGATCTTAGTTAGCTTGAAATTCCGCTTGTTTTGTTTTTAAAATTAATCAATGTTATCGGCGTGTAATATTTTGTTCGTATTTAAATGTCACAGAACGTCAAGTATACGGACGTGTTATAGCGTATAAAAGTATAAATAGGTGTATTTATGTTGTGGGTGGTTTTGATAGTGTCTGTGTGTCAATAACCTTACATAAATTCACCTGTTTACACATAAAACTATTTTCCCATCAACGTATTTATCTTCTCTTTTTTCGTGTTGACTCTGTTTGTTTTAGACTTTGTCATTGGTGTTACACCTGATGACTAAAATTTGTTTGCTCGTGTGTTATTGAAGATCATTCGGAAGACCGCTGTGACAACACACCCAATTTATAGATGTCGATAATATCCAATGAGGTGGTAGTATCTATAGAAGTTAAATAAGGTCGTTCTAATATGGCACGTGGCTAAAATCACAAAGCCCTACCAAAACCCGATTACCGTTTACTTTCGCTTAAGGTTAAGATGTAATTCAATACTAACGTTTCTACCGTTCCGCAACCTTTTAAAAATTGAGTAAGCTATTGTAGACTCTTCAGTTTTATTCTTTGTACTAATTATAAGTTAGTAATGTATCTAATGTCATAGGTTTTATTTTTAAACATTTGAGATTATCGTGACCTTATACGAAACTTTACACTAGTTTATTTATTGTTGTAAAACTTTTGTTCCTCCTACATTTTGATTCACGTCTGACTCATATATTTAAATCCCTATATCTATATAAACAGTTGTTAAGAATAATACATTTTATGTTGATACAATGAAATACTAAAATATTGCTAGCGTTTAATGAGGTGCTCTGCTGGATGGATAAGGTTGTTACGATAAAGACGTTCTCATGGCTGACGTCGTGGAAGTGGTACATATTTCAGTATGAGGTAGATAAAATTATTCGTTTTGATATTTTTTGTTGTTATCTAATTTTTGTTAAGTCGCGCGACTTGCTGTACCGACCACGAGACTTTTTTATCGCTTTTATTAAATCATCTGACCTTTAAGTTCCTACCAAAGGTTAATATGTACAAGCATGCCCTAAATTCAAGTAAAATACTTGAATTTAAAATCATAATTATTATGATGTTTAAACGTAGGTTCTTCATAGACTGCGTGTTACTAAAAGTTTTGCATTTTAGGTCTATACAAGTATATTTGATGCAGGGACGAAGGCAAAGTGTTTTTTTAAAAGAGCAAAGGACGACACAAGTTGTTGGGTCTGAAACTCCTGTAATGGCTCTTCGATTCCGCGAAGTTCATATAATGTGGCTAACATCCGATATGGTAAGTTGCGTTGATTTCATTGAAAAAATGTTAACGTGTTTTTATGTAACTTATTTAATTGTTTACCTTTATAAACTACTCGAATCTGGTACGTTATTCAAAACATAGGAGTCTTGATTTTGATGTGTCTACATTATTAGATAGTATAAATAATTAAAAGTCCATTAAATACCAAAACTAATAATATATCATAATCTAATTGCAGAAGAATTATACTTTTATTTTTTAAGATAATCTTTTTCTTATATTATAAAACTTTAATTAACATTAGATATCAACATTAAATAGGCTTACTTCATTATAACAGTAGAAATATAAACAATGTATGTATAAATGTCTAAGTACAATACCAAAATTGACACATGATGATTTACAATTGATATTTGTATTTGTATTTTTTTTTTTTTTTAATTAAAAAATATAAGGTAAAATGAAGTTATAAAGCGGGTAGTTTCCGGTGTTAAGAGTAGGGAATTAATTATTGTTATTATTATAATTATAATAACAGGTTACAGTATTCACTTTCACTTAACCTTTTACTATCTTTCATGTATATTGAAATTTGTGGAGTATAAAATTTCTTTTCTTCAGTGCGTTTTACAGGCCATTTAAGACCATTGTCACAACAACAACTAGCCTCTTTCGGTTTTTGTCTCTAACTAGTTATATAAAATGTATAAAATATAAATATCATTTCCCTCTGTAGTACAATTTTAGTAATTTCTATTTGGATTTATCTCGATTAATTTATGCTCTGACTCATTTACTTATCAGTATGACGAAGCTCATTATTTTACATATCGATTTTAGTATTCAGTATGAAAATAAACGTTCTTTTATAAAATTGGGATAAAATAAATAATTTCTTTCACTTAGACAAACGCTGAAGGTTAAATTCCAACACTAGTTCATACTATCTGTACATTAGTGTTAATTTACCGTAAAGATCGACTATCACAAGTATCTGTCTGGATCGTTTTGTTGGTTTTTTTTTCATTATAAAATAAGTGCATCTAACCCTAAATCTACGAAAAAAAAATGTGAATTTAGTTTAATAATTGGGAATACGCTACACTCATCATTCGTATTAATTTATGATGATATGAGTGAATCTTATAATTAAAAACAAAATAAAATGATTATCATTGAAAACGAAAAGTCGTTATTAATTGTTTAAAATTATGTATAGTTGTGTGCTGTAGAAAATTAAAACAGTATTTCATCTGTAAAATTTTTATTGAACATATGTAGTAGTTTCATTATTGTTTTTCTTTGTCAATCTTTATAATAATCATTAAAAAAAAACGGGAGAAAAGTTTTAAATTTCGACATTCCTTGCCAGCATTATATTTAATTTATTGAAATGCTTAAAGTCGGTGTTGTACGTGAATAGGAATGAGTTCGGAAAGAATATTAACTATATCGACCGAAGGAAGAGACTAGTCTGAATGTATTTTTAGTTCAAAATGTCGTCAAATTACGTAACCGAGCGCGAGCTCACATAAATTGTGTACTCTATTACTGTTTTAGTTAAGGTAATTTTAAAAACGCGTATGACCAGTGGATAGCCATATTTTTCACAATTTTTTATTTTGGAAACATTTTTTTATGATAATTCAATTATTGAGCATAATTAAAATAAATGTTAATTTTACAAATTTATGAGATTACGCTTGAATTCCTGGTCATTAGTAGGTAAATCAAATGGGTACTATTCTAAAATATTTAAAATAGGCTTAATAAGAAAAAACCATTTATGCATATCTAATAGTCCGCAATAAAATCTTGATATGGTAATAACAATAAAAAAGCTATGGGCTCTCGTGATGATTTTTATCATTAAGATTATTTATCCCTTTCCATAGTATAATCATTTGCATATGGCTGTATCGTTTTTTATTCCGTTCAAAGAACATCGTTTGTGTTCTGTTGCGGCCGGGTAGTTTGTCGGTCCTTGGCAAATCAAATATTATTATAACTGTACATTATGTTATGATTATTGTTAATATATCTTGTTTTTGTCTATCCGTCACCACCTCAACAAAGGAACCAACGGAAGCACGACAGTGGTGGCGTAAATGCGCCATAACGGTGGAGGCCGGGGCCGCCAACAAATTCTTGCCACTCTCGTTGTTCGTCTCCCCTTTGTACACTTCTCCCTTGTGTCGCCTCCCGTGCTTAGTTCTGATGACCGACCTTGACGCTGGCCGAAATAAAAATTGCCGAACCGACGACGCCCTTGTGCTGTTGGTATATGCGCGCGCGCGCGGCTGGCGAAACGACCGGCGGATCAAGGACACGACATTGGTTTTGCCCGCGCTTTTCCACGGCCCCCCACCACTTCAATAATCTCAACGTGTGCTCAACTCGAATTCTCCAAATTTTCCTTAATTTTCACTGTCGGTCGTTTTGTTTTACATCACTGGTTTTTCATTTTAATATTTTTTCAATTATAGCAACGCCTAAATAATTCTAAATATTACCTCATTAAAATTTACGTTTTCTATTATATGATTATTACTATATACTCACTCGGCGCCACCACACGGTTTCCCTTTCGCACGCCGCCGACGTTCACTTTCAGTTTCGCACTCGTTTCACACACACATGACTACAATACAGTACTTATTATTACTGTTCAGTAGGCCGTTCGCTGCAAGGAAAAAAAATGAAACCAAAAGTAGCACATGTTTTTTTTGCCTACAGCGTTCCTTGTTTTGCGCTAAATTTAGTTAATTTTGACTAGAATTTCTATATCATTGTGCAAACTGATTTCATTGGATAATTAAATTTCACACTGTTAATAATATTCGGATAAAAACATATATTTTTAGAATTATATTATATCTAGTTATGCAAAAGCATTATGTGATTTTTTATACATGATAATTTATCTAAACATTTAACCATTTTATTTCTAGTCTTCTCGTGTCATCTGGCTTTACAAATGGTAATTTTTGCTTTAATTTAATGTTAACATTAACACTTAACATATACATTGTTTATATTACACATTAATTGTTTGAATTAATCTTTGTTATTAGATGTTTTTTTCTATTTCTTGACGGAACACCACCGGGGGAGACATTTACTGCTACCTGTATATTAATTGAATTTTATAGCTTGAAAATAATTCTTCATAAATAGTTATAGTTTATCACAGTTCGACAATCGATTAGCTATCGTAATATTTATGTATTTGTAACACATTTTATGCCATTTTGATTTTAAAAATTGAGTTCCACGACTGTCAAAATATTTGATCTTATAGGAATGTTTTAAGAATAAATAAAAAATTATTGCTTAGATAATGTTTAACCATATGATTCATCTTTTTATGTATTATTTTACATTTAAGAATGGATGACTATTTTTGCATAAAAAAATTATGAAATAGTTTATTATGTATTCTATGCACTAGGAACAATGTAATTAACTTCTTAGCGTTGGAGATTGTTAATTATGATATTATATTCTCACCTGATATACTCTTTGGAGTATAAAATAAATAATTGTTCTGAAAAAAGCGGTGCTTCAAGATGGTATATAAATTATTCAAATTAGTCATTAGCCTGCATTTTTCGTGTATATATTTAGTAAACCGGTTTATTTTGGCAAAGTTATTTTAGTGGTCTGACATGTTCGAAGGATTATTTAGCATAATGTATATGTTTAAATTTATGTGTCATTTTTTTCATGCATAACAATTCCTCAATCTTCTCTTACACGTTTTTAACTATTATGCCTAGGTTGAATATTTAATATGAATTGATAATTACATAAATCAACTAACGAAACAAAAATCATTAACCTTTAAAATATAAAGGCAACAGGATGTTTTATATTTAACGTATAGGCTGTAAATAAATAATCTAACGTTAAAAGCATTGCGGCCGGTTGGAGAATATTCTGTGAATTTTATCATCGAACATGACCTCCCAAAAAAATTAGCAATAAATTCAGACGGGTACGGTTAGGCCACAAATAGTTGCTGCGTGTTAAACTGATAATAGTGAATCTGCTATGTAATTTATCAATTATCTTAAAACATGGAATATGCTAACAATGTAAATAATTTTTTAATTTAATACTATTGTTATTGACCAACATTTTATGTGTTTAATACCATTAAGGGCGTAACAACATAATTGTTTTAATATAAATATTCTAATTATGTTAGATACACACAATTCGTTAAGAATAATTTTTTTTTTGACATTTATGTTTTTAAGATTTAAAAAACCAACTGTTGAGTTTTTTTTTATTACTTTTTGATATGATAGTTACTCTACTGACATACTTTGTGTTATAGTGTAATTTTTTTTCGCTTTAATATGTTTTTTTGTAATTAATGTAACATAAACTTCGAGTCAAAGTATTTTAATTGATATCTGTGTTGATGTATTTAAAATAAAAATCAAATAATGAATAAGACCAATTCTCTGTATACAAAGGAAGTAATATTAGTAATGTACGGCTCCTATCCGTGAGAAACAAAAATATGACAAGGTCATTTTGTCCAATGTATTATAATTGTTGGACAAATGTTGAATTAATTTCAGTTTCAACGTATACAATATACTCTTGATTTTTTAAATTTAGGAGTGCATTCCTAAACAACATGCGTTTTTATTCAAAAGATCTAATAATAAACTACAATTCAACTGCGCATATATTTAAGTCTTGATAAAAAAAAACTTATACATTTTATACTTATTTCAATACTTTTTAACTACTTAATTATAGGGTCTCATAAATCAATCATCGTTCATATTAAGATTCTTTTATTATTTTGATTAATTAACTTTTTTTATAAAATACCGCGACTATTATGTTTCTTCACACTACATCTAGTGTGCCCATCGGCCTATTCATATACTTTTTTATTCATTTCCTCCTACACGTAACTCACGCCTTAAACGCACAAATTTCTTATCTTATGCATTTATCTCATAATCAAATCATCTTCCGATATTATCCATTTAATTTCACTGTCACAT